CAAATTCCACTGCCTCTCTTCCAGTTTTGACTCTGTTCTCCGGTGCTGCCAGTGGATACACTCCGTATCGAGTATCCCACGTAATGCCCCAGATGTCTTGATATGCCACAGCAAAATGTTTCAGTTTCTTAGACGACTGTTGATGACCGTATGTGTAGTTCCGACGACTTTGTGTAAACAGTTACTGGCGAATAGGTTAACGGTTCTTCTGGTGACGACTTGATTTGCGTAGACGACTACTTACAAATAACAGTCTCTTGACAGCAACTTGATCTGGGCGACTGACGAATAACGAATTTCTTGACGATGACTTGATCTGGGCGGGCGAATAACGACTTTCTTGACGATGACTTGATCTGGGCTGACGAATAGCGGTTCTCTAAAATAGTTCACTGCTTCTGCTGCTAATCTGGTAGTACGACGAAGTCTGCTGCTGTATGCTGCTTCACTAGACCAAAATGTCCGTGAAGTCCAATGTAGACCAGGGTTTTATCCAGGAATTCGGTTCAGGGGGGGAGTTGGCATAACCTAGGGGGGGATTCCCAAAAAGGGGGCCTGGGGGACGGTAGTTTCCCAGTGGGGTCCAGGGGCAAAGCGCCGGTAGGGGGTCTGGACGATGTCCCCCAGAAGCTGAAGCAAAATACCAGTGTCAAAATGAAATTTCTGAAGTATTTTTAATTTAATGTACACAAATAACAGCCTTTTGACAATGATTGACCGGAATAAAATCGTATGGAGTTGTGGACGTGTGTATGAATATGAGGTATATAACTGGCAAAAATCGCACATGCCAAAGCTTTATCAATAGCTAGTTTGAACAAATGTAAACACTTCAAACACAATAGTGGTAGTAACATATATTTATACTCTATTTCAAATGATTATGCTCAGTATAAGCTGCTAAAAGAAATAACGTTAATTATTCTATTTAGATAAGTCAATCAGCAAATGAATATTTCTTATATCTTCTTATTATGAAGGGCACTATAAGTAGGTGACCAGCCTATATTAGGAAAAGTGGAAGGGCTAAGTTTCTGGCCTAATGGTTTGGCATAAAAGTCTTATCTCCACTGGAACAACTAAACAGACCTAAATACATTGGATTCTTTCTGCTGTTTTCATCATTGTCAATTACGAAAGTTGTGCGTTCATATGCATCATTATAAGTAACTTGTTTCTTATCTCCATAAACAACCGTTATTGGACGGTTGAAAAAAATCGAGGCAGTTGATAATATTATGCCATCTCCCCATGTTCCATTCTTTTCCATTGCCTCAAGATATTTGTCAACCGAAGAAAAACCTAAAAATTTGTAAAATTATACAGTTATAACTTAGGAATATGAGTCATACAATGAATTGAATAGGCTAGGCTTGACACGATAACAATTAGCCTCCCTTACTCTCCATGCCATCCCAGTCTGGGTTGGCAAGTTGTCGTCAAAAGGTGCACGGATGGCTACATAAAGTGAATTCCCATGCGTACCGATACATTTAAGTGGGTTGCATTAGCAAAATTTAGCATGGTATCAAATTTTGGCCATGCGCATGTGTCTATTAACTAACACAGTAGAACTAGATTATGAAACTGACTAAGTCTCTCATATTCTGGCGGCTAACCAATAGTTTTCGCCATATTGCCGCGTTTTAGGCAGTCAGGCCGTGCAGGGTTTTAGGCGAAACCCTCACCCATGCAAGGGCAAAGTCCAGTAATGCTGACCTATTATCGCTCACATGAAAGGCGTGGAAGATTAGTTAGGCGGTGCCCACGAATTAACTAAAGTTTCATAAATTTATAATCATACCTTCAATAGTTTTGTCCAGAAGAATTTCCCGATGGTCTTGTAAATAACTGACCAATGATCATCTACTGTCAGTTGCTGAGCCTGTTTCACGAGTGTTGCCAGGATTGGACGATAATTGATGCGCGATGGCCGAAAACATGCAGTTCCCATTAGGTGCAGTGTTGTGTACCGTAAACCCGGGAAACTTAAATGTTGATTTTGCTACATTCTCATTTATTCGAATTTTTTTTGACAAAGCTGAACATCGATAATTGCCGCTTCGTGTTTACACTTTTATTATTTTCCTTTTTATCTATAATTATCGATTTTCCCGGGTTACCAAAAGTAGGGATGTCAAAAACAGGACGGTGGAAAACCGAAATAATTATTATACAACATACAATTTTATTTCCTTTATTTCTTCTTTTAAAGCAACTTAGTGTTACTCTGATCCCCCTCTGAGGGGGGGGGGGGGGGAATAAAATAATTTCCTCAGGGGGGGGGGAGGATTGTGGTTTCAGGGGGGGATTTCTCCCCCCCTCGGGGGGGGGGGGGGGTTAAATAAATCTCTGATGTAGACTAGGTGAGACCAAGGTCACCTCCGACGACGTTCCGTTATACGATTAACGGTTTTCACCAAAAAATAAGTGGATGTAGCTGTTTCCATTACTTCAACACTAACAAGTCTAGATATGGTCTAGACCAACGTATAATAAATAGATCAATGTTCAGCAACGACGAATACGAATTCACTAACCTTCCAAAGGTTAAATGCAGTGACCGTTATACTAGTGGCAAGCAACCGGTTCAATGAGCAAACTGCTCCCCAAGAATCTCTGAAAGGGAAAGACAGCGATTTAGTTAGCTAACAAACTTGTAGTACTCACAATACTTCTGACAGCGGGCAAACTGTCCTTCTCAACTGCCGAGGTAAAACTTGATATGACTATGTGGCTCCTACGACTGTTTTCGCAAGCGAAGAAAAAATATGTCCAACAGGTTTAGTGACAATCTCTCACCCGTTATGAATGAACGGTTCCTCTGGCTGTAGGTCGATTCCGCATACGAAGATCAGGCGTTGATAATATACTCGTTGAGTAGACCAGACGTTGAGATGATCACTGTCCTGACGAAGGTCACCCTGAGTTAACGGCTCGTTGAACTTACGATCGAGCAGGCGACGACTGCATGTAGAACTGACGACATAGCCTAAACAAAGTCACTCTGCGATGATGCTGTGTTCAGCCGTACTCCAATGAAACTTTATATCTTCGAGTGCACGACCCTCACCTGAGCAAACGTTCAGCTTCGAGGTCCGGTTCAAGGTTCGGGTTCGAGGTTCGGGGTCGCCACTGTGATGTACTTATTCAGACTGTCTTGAGGTCAACTCAGATGACTTGAATTTCAATTAATTACTCTGCAAGCGTTTGAGTTTTATTGTTCGGGTGTATTCAATGTAGTTGATCAACACTACAGAATAAACAAGACGATCGATGTAACGAGTCAAGAGTCAACACTGAGGAACAGTTCATACTAGAGTTATTCTAAGAAAAGGCCTCAGTAAAAGTCTATGTCAAAATAAACACGTCTTTACCCTATAGAATTCTATCGCTAACTCATTTTCCGGTCTCTAACCCAAAATATCCCAAACGTCACTAGTCCCGTTCTATATACGTCTTCTATGGTGCGTCGCTAAATAACTAATCTATAAACAAGGTGTCTAACAATAGACTCTCCAGTTCTGGTGGCTTACGAAATAAGAGTAAATTTGAATGATGGGGCCTCAGGGAGCCGTGTTTCACAACAACGGATGTGATAAAATCATCTAGTTGATGAGGGATAACCGGACACAGATGTCGGTGATGGGCCATCTCTTATTCCTGACCTCTGGTTAAAATCCTTCCCATTTGGTCAAAGAATCATTAATATGATATTTGTTATTTTGGGTTTTTGGCACATTTGCACACTTTAGGCCATGTCGTGCCCATAATCTCTCAAGGGTTACCCCCCCCCCCTTTCATAGCTCAAGAGCTAAGTTTTATACAGTTAAGTCATTAAAAACGAGGTCCATTCACAGTTCCGAGGGTAAAAATAGTACAAATTGTATTACTATATGTGAGTCAGCTCCCCTTTTATCGGACACCTAGAGAGGGTCTAACGAAAACACATCAACTTATAAACTTGTAACCTAGAGTGTTTATCACAAAACACCTTTTTTTTTTTTTGAATCTATTATTGACTGACTGAACTGAAGCAATTAGTTCCTATAGAATATATAAAGGGTTGGCTTTCGGAACAATTCAAATTTAGAATGGAAACACTTTATCGTAAACTTCTTTTTAATAACTACAACATTCCGACTCATCGTGTTAACATTCAAGATGACTATGTTTTCATTGAAGATTATTCCCTATTCAACACAAGGGACTCCATTTCATTTTCTTATTTGTACATTCACATTTTTATGACCTTTTATTTATTTGTTTTTAATTATTTTCTTTTTTTCAAGTCTTGGAAATGCTGGAGAAAAAGAGAAGACGAGACAAGGGCGACAACATTTTCATTCACTTGGAGTTGTGCTTCCTGACAAAGTTTACAAAAGCGTCCACGTGTACAACCCTGACTCTTTAAAATGTGATGTCCTTAACACGGTAGATGTTAACCTCTCCATACCATTATGACAAGGGAAATTGAAATTGATGTGTTATAGAAACAAGAGACACGGGCTTAGAATGTACACAAACAAAAACAGTTTGATTCTATTGGTATGAAATAAACCTCTTGGCATAGTTGCCTAGATACACTGAGATAGAAAGCAGGACAGGGTGAATGAGGAGAGAGGGAGACATTGAGAAAGAGAGGAAGAGGGGAAAAGACAGAGAGAGTGGGGGAACAGAAAGAAAGAGAGGGAGACAGAGAAAAATAGAAGAATATGAGGAAAGAGAGACAGAGAAAGAAAAAAAAAGAAAGGTGATTGGAAAAGAGAGGGTGATTTTATGGAGAGATACAGATAGCCAGAGAATAAGAGAAAAAAAAAGATTAAAGTGGCAGGAGAGAGAGAGAGAGAAAGAAACTAAATAAAAATATTTAAAACTTTAAGTATAAAATATTTATATATAATTTAAAATTTATTCATTTATATGTTTGTGTTTCGATGCAATAAAAATGTGGTACTCAAATAATGTGTTGTCTTTTTATCTTGGATCATTGCCGCTCCCAGGAGAAAGTGTCCCCCCCCCCCCTCAGTCCTCAAATGTGCAGTAAGTCTTGAGACACACACTGAAGACACTACTTGCACCTTTGTGGAGGAAATGAGTTGACCTTTTATTCTTTCGTTTTCGTTGCGCCGTTAAGACCGTAGAGTCCGAACATTGAGACCACAAAAGTCCCTTTAGTCTACCTTGACCATATATAGATTGTCCACTGTCTAGACTAGCTAGCACACCGTCAGTGACCTCTCTCACTTTGATATCTAAGTAGAATCTTAGGGCCATCTTGTCAGGCACACTCGCGAACGCATACAAACACACACACTTGACAAACACACACACACACTTATGCATGATGCATTGATTTTATTATGTATGTTTTTTTTTTAAAAATAAGAATGTTCTATTGATTCCATTTGTTGCTTCCCCATTATCAAGATAAACCAGATGACACCACGATCGCCAATGCCACGATAATCCTAGGCGATACTGCAAGTCTATCAACTGAGTCAGAAAACTTGGAGGCGTTCCTAATTGCAACTGTTGTCATGGCATCTGTCGCTGCTTCTTTCACCATTTCAACAGTAATAGCCTGTTATCGATACCACAGTACAAAGTAAGTCTGGATGGTTATTAATGCTTTTTTTAAATTCACAAATAGAATGGGAATATCCCTATTCAGAGAGAATATCCAAATGTAGCGGGAGTACCATAGAAATAAGGAATACTTACTTGTGATTGTCGTCATATGAGACATGCCTATATATTTGAAATAAACGCATCTATCAACATAATCAACTCACTCTATCTCTGTGTCTGGTACAAGAGTTGTACACGTGATTTCTCCCACACCCAATCTCGGATCAACTTGAAATTTAAAATATATATATATATATATTGTATCCTCAAAAAAAGAATCTGCAAAAAATAAATAAATTAGCAAATTAGTAGATTATCTATTGGTAATTATTTTTTTTTATTTGTATCGATCAAGGGAAAGAAATAGGAATTGACAGATGTGTTGGCATACGTTGAAATATGTCCCCTTTAAACTTTGTAAAAGTCGTGACTTTAAGCTTTGAAAAAAAGTATAATGCTTTTTTTAAATTCACAAATAGAATGGGAACATCCCTATTCAGAGAGAATATTCAAATATAGCGTTAGCTGGCACAGTTGAGGAGGCTTTAACCCATGAGCTCAGAGTAAATTTCTACACCTTTTTTTTTCTAGAACACATTTAAAAAGCTATCCCGGTAACCTTCACATAGATACCACCTTAGTTCTCTGCCCCACCCCCCTTTTCCCAACTGGTCCAGACAAGTGATTGGATCATAGCGTGTTGAGAAAGCTAAAAGCATGAAATAGCGCTAAACAAAAACAATTGGGAAAAATATTTCTAATCTCACAGATTTATTGTAGTTAGTCAAGATGTATTAAAATTTAGTTCGATGACTGATCCAAACTAATTGATACAAGTACGCTAAACATAAGCTTTGTGGTTTTTATTTTTTACTTTTTGATGTTTCTTTTTATGTGAATGTGTTTGATGTTTCTTTTTATGTGAATGTGTTTGATGTTTCTTTTTATGTGAATGTGTTTGATGTTTCTTTTTATGTGAATGTGTTTGATGTTTCTTTTTATGTGAATGTGTTTGATGTTTCTTTTTATGTGAATGTGTTTGATGTTTCTGTTATGTGAATGTGTTTGATGTTTCTGTTATGTGAATGTGTTTGATGTTTCTGTCACATAGACAGCCCGTTCTTGAAGAAAGGTCTATTAGGAGTCGACATCCTGAGCAGACGTAGATCTTATAGGCCCAACTCTCGACAGCCAGCCTCTGTAAAGCTGTTTGTGTGATGCAGCGCTGTCGTTGATTTCTAGGTTTCAATGTTTTTAATCGACTTTTTAAATTATTTTGTCTGTGCAGAAAGAAAAGGTTGACAGACAACTATGATGAACTGGACACGAGAATCACTGACCGAGTGTTTTATCATCGACCTCAAGTCAATGGTTGGTACATTTCTACTGAGATTTTTCTAGTCACTTTCTGTTGTACAATAGATTGTAGTGTAGTAACTCTAAGGGAGGCAACTTAACGAAAATAAGTCAGAAACATTAATGGTATTTATGACCACGTGATGTCTAGATGACCAGAACATCGAACATAAACAGCGGTGGTCAGTCCGTGGGTTCGCTTCCCTCACAGTTCTTTCTCTGGGTTCACATGTCCGCCCTAACAGGTATCTATCAGGCACTCCCTCCAAACTACTCCAATAAGAAAACTTCATGCGTTGCTCCAGGTCCACAGCGACAGCCATCTAACAAACGGTTGCTGGATGAAAGGGCGTCTCGTTCGGTTGTTTTAGAATACAGAACCCACTGTTTATCTTCTTCTTACTTGGGCACAAGGAAGCTTCGTCTCTATGTAAACACTCCGTGCTAGTCCCGTGTTGAACAGAGTTACAAAAGTATTATTTTCATCCATGCTTTAACGCGAGTAGATATCACTTTAGTTTAGGAAGCTAAGTAAAGAGGTGCAAGAAGTTAATCTTATCTTATTTAATACAGACGTTACTTCAAAAAAGAAGATGATTAAGTCCTACGCGTCATGCATTCAGTAATGCATATTAACCAATGACTTAAATTCTGCCAAGTCACTGGTTTTCCTGGCTAGCTCAGGCAACCCATTCCATGCTCTAATAACACTAGGGAAGAAGGAGTATTTGTACAAATTTGTCCTAGCATATGGGACGAGGAATGCGCCTTTATCTTTGTGTCTTTCAAAGTATTTTATTAAATTTTGTTTTTGTATTTGAAGATTATGGTTCAGTGTTTTATGTATAATTGCTACTTTACTTTTGGGTCTTCTGTCCTGAAGTTAAGCTTTAGTTTTGTATACAAGAAGTCTTAAGAAGGTCGCATAGGTTTTGAAACTTTCGGTATTATAATTATATATGTACTTTGAATTATTCTCATCTTATACTTTTTGTAAAGAACAAAATTTAGATCTAAAAGTTTATGTTTAACAATGTATGTCTAAAAGTAAATATTTTATGATGTGTGACTATTTAAATTAGGACATAATCGTAGAGTACATATTGTTGTAACCCTGCCTTGCACCAGTGCTTGAGATGCGCACTAGCGCACTGTTGAACGTACACAGGAAGAAGGACTGTTGTGAAGCCGGCTAAAAGTCATGGGAGTCTGAACAGTCTGGCGCTGAGTGCTGTCCTGTGTGATACCAGGAAACTGTGTGGGAGACCTGGAGCGACACTGGGAAGTGTGTCGGTGGTCAGTTCTGTGTTATGGTATGAAGTAGGACTCTTAGAACTTAAGACATATTACTCCCTGTGACTTTATAGCAGAAATCCAAGTCTAACTAGTAACTATTACTATTTGTTGATGCTTATAATAAATAAATACATCGTTTACTGTTGCCGACCAGCCGTTCGTTGAGTGTCTGCCTTAGAGTTGCAACAATATTGTTGTAACTCTAAGGCAGGCACTCGTAACTCTAAGGCAGGCACTCAACGAGAAGGCAGGAGGTAACAATAAACAAGGTATTTATTTTCAGTACAAACAGGCATGCACTTCAGCTATTAGTTCCAGAGTGTCCTAGTTCAAGTGACACCAGTCCTTTGCTACATATAAATACAGACCACCGACACATTTCCCAGTGCCGCCCCAGGTCCTCAACACAGTTCATAGATAGCACACAGAACGTTCTCTAGAGTCAAGACAGCTTAGACTTCCATCACTTTAGCCGGGTCTACACCAGTCCTTCTTCCTGTCTTATATCAACATGGCTTCTCCTGTGTTGAATTGTGCTCTAATGCGCACCATCAGTGTGGCGAGGAAGCGGAGTTACAACAATATTTTTAGACTTTTTCTTGTGGAAAAATCTGCAAAAAATGATTAAAAATTGAGAGGCAAACTGGTTCTAATAGACCCTGAGCACCTTCATTAATAATCAGTCAATCTGTACATTAGTACAATTACTTCTTACTATTATTCTCTGACATTTTCAGCTCAAAACTCCAGCAGTTCCTGTGCCAGTGGCTACTTAGATGTTGTCTCGAGTCGCTCGTCTTCACCACGTGACTCCCCAGCAGAAGCCGGAACAGACGCAAACCCTTATGCTGAGATAGGCGAAATGTGCATGGCGGGAGAAAGTAAAACTGCCGACGAGTGACCTCATCCTTCATTTACCACCTTTTTTATCCCGTCCTCAGCTTGACCAAACAGATTGAATGGCTGTGATATAATTTAAACAACTGGTTGTTACGATTTTTTACAATAACAATTAAACGAGTGTAACACTGTCTTGTGTAACATCGACAAGAATAACATTGCCTAGGGTAACATTGATGAATGTAACATTGACTTGGGTAACATCTACTAGTTAAACATTGACTACGGTAACATTAATTATGGTAAGACTAGGGTACCGTTGACTAGGGTTAAATTGACTAGTGTAACATCGATTAGTGTAACATTGACCAGTGCAACATAAGGCAAACATAATGATTTGACCAGTATAACTATGACCATCGTCACCTACACAGCAAACCAATAATTTTGAAATGACCACAGGACATAGACCAGCTTAGCACTACCACGTACTAGTGTCATGTCCTCTTGACTTCAAAAGTCCTTCAGTTTAAGTGTTGTGCTAACTAATGTCACATGTTGACATAAATGTCAGTGACAACATCGTGAAAAGAAAAAAAAACTCCATGAAATGTCAAGTGTGAAGCGATTATAAGTTTATAGATCTATTTAAAACTTATTATAAATCATTGTATATACAATTGTTTGACATTGATATGAATTGGGTTGTTAAATATTTAGGTAACTAATAAATATGATAACACGTGAAGTGTCATGACTTTTATTTCTAGCACCTGCGTCGGTGTTTGTATTATACTTTCAATTTTTAGGACTTTGATTCTTCCAGCAATAAACAACATTCCCCCGATAGAAGAAGGGATAGTGATACGAAGAAATGTTGGGGTGATATAAGGGAACTTGAAGACAAAAGTTAGAAAATATATATATTGTTGTAACTCTAGGGCAGGCAACTCAACGAACAGATAGGAGGCAATTATAAACGATGTATTTATTACAATCTATCAACAAATAGTTTGACTTCCGCTATCAACTCATGGGGAGTAATGTCTTAAGTTCTAAGAGTCCTACTTCATACCAGAACACAGAACAGACCACCGACACACTTCCCAGTGTCTCTTCAGGTCTTCCAAACACTTCCCTAGTATCACACAGAAAAGCACTAAGCCCCAGACTGTTCAGACTCCCATCACTTTAGCCGATCTACAACAGTCCTTCTTCCTGTATCAACATGTCTTCTACTTCTTGTGTTGAATGGCGCTCTGATCAGCGTCAGCGTGTCTCGGGAGCGGAGTTACAACAATATATATTAAGATGGGGTGAGATTTTGAACTAAATAATGTAAATTGACAAACAAAACGTACCCAAATAATTCGTCATATCGTGACTAAGAGTTTCATAACTATAAGTCCTAAATCATAATGTAATGCCATATTGACCATCACTTTTTCGGCCATTCAACGAACTTAGTTCAAGACACACAATAAAGGCTTGGTACGTATAACATGGCAAGAAGTCAGGATGTTTAAGTGTATGTGTCAGTGTGCCATTATTTCATGTTTTGAAGCACTACTTTAAAGAAAAAAAAGCAATTCCTTACTTAAATATAATATCAGCAGCAACGAATGAAGCACCTATTGTTTGATCGCCACTGTCGATTTGTAAGCTTATGAAAACAATATGTCTGTGCTATACATCGATGACATCGAATGGTAGATTGCATGAATCTCTTCAATTTTTATGCAGGAAAACGAAATCGAATCAACGCATTGAATACGCGATTATATACCCAGTTCCTTGAAGAACATTCATCAAATAACACTACTGAAAGGCTTGACAATATTTTTCCCTTTTTGACACAAATTCTTGGATGCTACACATTTTATTTTAAAACAAAATGTTCAATACACCGCCAATTTAACAGTCTTGTTTCATACATTTCATGAGGTCAACTTTCAGCTACAAAGTAAAAACCTACCTTTGATATTAAACCTTTAACTCAGCGTTTTTTGCAAGAAATTAATTATTGAAGCAAAACATTCGATTGGGTTAATTTTTTGAAATTGTCACATATAGAACAGTCAAACTGTCAGGGAGATGACATTTTTTACTTTTGTGTAAGGTTTGAGGATATTCTGAATATGATATTACTTCAATGGATAATCCACCTCTAGGATGGTGATATAGATGAAACGGTTGTAATATTATAAGAATAAATTTTGATGGCATGAAAAAAAAAAAGCTAAATATCTTCCACCTCTGACGCCTAAGGCGGATATTTAAAATAAGGTGGCGGGATAAAAAAAACACCGAGGAAGTGCTACGAAGAGCAGGGTGCCAGGACATCCGCTGTGTTATCAACAGAAGACATCTTGGATGGCTTGGCCACGTTCAGAGAATGCCAGTAGGTCGACTTCCACCGATCTAACAGAAGACAGGAGAGCCGCTGGTCGTCCACTTGTACGGTATACAGATGTATGCAAAAGCGGCATGAAGCTCTTTAAATTGTCATGAAATGACACTGGGTAGATCCACATGAAGAGCGAGCATAAAGGAAGGGTCTCGGAATGCAGATGCCATACACAGCAGTAATAGAAAGAAGGGTGAAAATGCAACGGCGCCTGGTGATCACATATGCCCAACGTGTGACCGCAGCTGTGTATCAAGGATTGGCATCTTTAGTCACACAAGAAGTGGCAGAGAGAAAAGATCGTCTCTCGAGACCTAAAATTCCACAGAAAATTATGATAAACTTAAAATACAAATAGATATAAGTTCCTACCCTCCATTTTTAGACCTTGCAATCTATTGGTTGTCCTGCTTGGGTCGCAGCTGGCTTTGTCCTGGCTTGAGGTTCTGCAGCTGTAGTGGGCACCCGTGTACTACGGGCAGAGCTGATCTGCCGTGTGCAGCGTGGTTAGCAGGATAAGTCCAGTGCTATGACGTCTTGCACAGACGAGTGGTCTATAGGGACGTCGTACCTAATAAGTTGACAGGTGGGCTGTCGAATAGGCAGGCGAGTAGAGCCGATAGCGCCAAGTAGTAGAGCCAAATAGGCAGGTAGGCCTAAACAAATAGGCAATTGAGTAGGTTGACGAGTGGCTGTCATACAATGCCGAATAAATAGGCAGGTGATCCAAACAAATAGTTGAGTAGATCCCAGTAGGCAGGAGAGATGATACTCAATAACAAGTAGGCAGGAGTGCAGTGCTGAATAGCACTAAGTACATAGGCAGACACCTGTGGAAGGCACCAGGTATTCCTCTAAGAGTAAGAAAAAATGAAATAGTCCAGACTCGATTGCCAGAGAGAGAGAAATGAGCGGGTCTGGTTTGACTTAGTATACTTTATAAAGGTCCGCGAGAGATGGGCGGAAACAGGAAATGCGATAGGCCAAAGATTATCTCTCGCGTGGGTGAAGTCCGACGAAAGTCGCACCTTGGAGTGTCACGAGGCGTGTTGACACGAATAATCTCCTTGATTAAAGAAAGACGTGGGTGGGGCAGAAGAAATAATGAAGCGTGTTTCATCCAAGGTGGCTTCGACGTGAAAGTCGGACATCCGGCTCCTAGGATCAAAGTAAGTGACTGTTTGTTTGATCTTTCCCCAGGTCAAAGGGAGATAAGTGAAGAGACGCGGCCTATCTATCTCCAAGGTGGTGGACTAAGTCTAGCGAGAAGAGGAAAAGGTGGGGCGAGTGAAGAAATTGGGGATAGAACGGGGAAATAATTTTAAAAAATGAATAAATAATAATAATTAATGCTGTGATAAAATTGAGTGACTCTGACAGCAAGCTTTTGACTAATCACACCCCCAACAAATGATTGTGACGATAAAACTTGCCTTTTCCATATAAAATCTAAAGCAAACTACATTCAATTCCAAGAGCGTATTCAAGAGAGGTTACACATTTCTACCAGTGGCGGGGCTCCACTGATAAAGTGCAGTGAATAGTCATCTGCCTAAATTGAAAAACACTAAATGTGGCTCAACAAAGATGGCTAAGACAGATTTTAGGAGTCAGTTATAGAGATCGGGTCTAAATCAAGAAAATCCTATGCCGAACTCAGAAACGACCCTTTAGTAAGTTTGTGAAAGAGCGTTGCATGAGGTTTGCGGGACATGTTCTCCGACAAAATGAATTACGCATAATAAGAGTTGCGATAGCATCCTAGTACAACTTAGCTCCACACATTCATGGAGGTCCTCAGAGCAGGTGGGAAGAGTCTTCAGACATTACCAGTGATAGATTTGTGTAAACAGCTTGACGGCAAATGCGACGAACGGCGCGGGAGGGTCTAAGTCAGTAACAAAAGCACATTAGGTTTTTGAAATAAAACTTTTTTAATAGCAGGAAAATGCACTGTAGATACGTCAGAATATGAATTTTGTTGGCTTTCAATAAGAAAAATAGTGCTCCTATCGCTCCCCTAGACCCTCTTCCTGGCAATGGCGGGGAGTCTACAATTTGTCCACTAACTCTAGGAGGAACCTATTGTAGGGCTTTAATAAGAAATAAAGAAACACTGAAGAGTAACCTAAAACACAGCTTTATTAAACTAGAACGACACATGAACTGACCAAAGAGACTTGGACAGTAGCACACTAAATCAATGTTGTGAACACATTCTCACGACGTTACACAAAACATAAATAGTAACTCTTTCTCCACATATTAAAATAGCAAGTATAGTAATATAGTAGGCCATAGCATAAATAAAAAAAGAATGCCAGTGCCTGCAATACCATAGATCAATAAATAGTGTCGAAATATTAGTTTCTCTTGTAAACAATAGTGAATAGTAATACAAAGAAACCTAAAAACCAGTATCTGTAGTATGACTTATAAACAATTACTAGTTTCTGTGTTAAGCAACAATAAATAGTATAGTAGGTAAACATGTACTTAAGTAAGTGAACAAGTAAACTCTAGTATCAGTAGCAAGAGATAAACAATGCCAGTTTATGTAGTCAGTATAATAAACAGTACAGATAAACAACTCTAGACTCTATAGTTCGGTCTGGTTCTTCTCTCTCTTAAGTTGTAACGGGGTTGATTATCATGTTCTACAGTTCGCGAGTCACGAGTGAGTTCCTGAGCGTCAAGTGGGGTATGATGATTCTGTGTATTTTCAAGAGGAAGCGCTCGGGTTTCCAGGGGTTCTTTCCTTTCTTGTATCACCGTAGGGGTGTTGACTGTTACTTCCGTGTTTTGAGCTTCTGGAGGATATTCATTATCCTGACCCTGAGCGAAGAACGAAGGTTCACTTGTTGTTGTGGATGGGGAGGGGTTGGGAGTCAAGCGTCTTAGAGAGACCGTCTCCTCTTTACCGCTGGGCAACCGTACCACGGGATATTGGGGGTTACACATCAGTAATTCGACTTCTTCCGTGAGAGGATCATACTTTGAAGATCGGTTCTCTTTTCTCAGCAACACTCGACCTGGGCTAGATAGCCAAGTGGGGAAAGATATCCCGAAGGAGGATTTCCGGTTGAGCCGGAAAACTCTCTAATGTTGAGTTTCGTTTGTTGCCGTAGATAGTAATGATCTAATCGAGTATAGGGCCTGGTTCAAGACTAGCTCCCATCTTGAGATCGGGAGATCGAGGTCTTTCAGTGCTAAAGTAACAGCGTTCCACAGAGTTTTGTTTAGTCGTTCAATTTGCCCGTTGCCTGAAAGATTAAAAGGGGTCGTTCTACTTGTAGCTATTCCCTTCTCGTGCAGAAAGGATTGTACCTCCTTCGACATAAA